ACATCCTTCATCAAGTCAAAACATTTCATCAGTCCTTATTAGTCTAGTCCCTCGAAAAATATTTTTATTAGAACAATTGTCTGGCAACAAAAAAATAAGACAGATTTTCTTTTCCAAGAGCACTTTTAAAATTTTTCCTTTCAAAAGAATTGCAATTTAAAAAAATGAGGCAATAATAGAACTCCGCATTATTAAAAAAATATATATATAAACACATACAGTAAAAAATAATAATAATAATTACCGTCAATGGCCTGTAGATGCATTCAGAGTGGGGTGAAAATTCTGATTTCACCCTGTAACATTAGAGAAGTTTCTTGATTTCTCTGTACCTTAGTTTTATTTGTAACATAAAGTTAGGCAATGATCAACATCCAATTTTTTGACAATCTAATAAAACTTCTCTATGAACATATGGTGAGCCAGGCACTTTTCATTATACAACTGGCTTTTCAATTCAAGTTTTAAATACAGAAGCCATTCTTCAGAAATGTAATAGGGTTTAGTTAATTGCATTTGTTCGTATAGTTCTTTTGCGTTTTCCCAGTATCAAAATACTTTCTGGGTATTTCACTGAAAATCATTTTTAAAAATCATTCTTTTGGGGCCGGCCCCGTGGCTTAGCGATTAAGTGCACACGCTACACTGCTGGCGTCCCGGGTTCGGATCCCCGGTGCACACCGACGCACTGCTTCTCCGGCCATGCTGGGGCCGCGTCCCACATACAGCAACTAGAAGGATGTCCAGCTATGATATACAACTATCTACTGGGGCTTTGGGGGAAAAAATAAATAAAAATTGTTTAAAAAAAATAATAAAATACAATAAAAATCGTTCTTTTGCTACTCTTAATTTAAGCATACTTCAAATGGGGCATTATTTTTCTGTTTTAGGTCAAACCATATGAAATTGCTGATATTTAACAATTTTTGATATATAAATACAGCAAAACCATATAGTTCAAACTAATACATATGTATGTATTTTATTTCATCAAGGGATAATATTCTAAACCTAAGGAACTGATAAAAACTGGAGCACATATTTTGGTTCACACTGCATGAATGGAGTCCATTCAGCCTTTTTTCACTTTTCCAAACAGCAGTTATTACTACTTAGAACTTGTTATTTAACAAATATTTGTGAGTACCTATTAAGTGTCAGGCACTGGGAATAAAGCAGTGAATAAAAGTAAAAAATTTCACCTTGTCTCTTCTCACGTCTAGTGAGAGAAACAGATACACATTTAGTATATTAGATGGTGATAAGTACTAATAAAGCTGGGAAGATGGACATAATATCATGAGAAGTGTCTATATGCAATTTTAGATAGGATGGCAAATTAGGTCCTGAGTGAGAAAATGACTTTGGAGTAAAGGGCCCCCAAAATTGAGAGACCTAGCTATATGGCCATCTGGGGAAAGAACTAAATCTGTTACCTCCACTATCATGGAAGCTCCCCGAGGAGGACTCTGTTCTATTTACTGCTGGTCCAGTATGTAAAACAGTGCCTAGTATATTGCAGGTGCTCAATAAAAATATCTGTTGAAAAACTGAATATTTAATGCATATACAAACAAATATGTATAAACACTTACGTACACACACCCTGAGTTGTTGATTTTACCACAAATGGTAGCATAATAACCTTTGTACACCGTGCTTTTTTCAGGTAATATGTCTTGGGGATTGTTTTTAGCTGGATGCTACTGAATATATGTTATAATAAGACAGTTACTTCTCAATATCTATTTTCTATGTTACAGTATAACTTTCAGGACAGGAGGAGCCAAGTCTGTCTTGCTCATCCCTACTACCCAGATTATATTACTATGCCTGATACACAGTATCTACTTAATCTTCAAAAAAATGAATGAAAGGTATGACTGACTGAAGGACTGACTGACAATGAATAACAAGCTCATAAAGGAACATAATTAGGGAATAGTGTTAGGAAACAGTATAAAGTTTAGTTTGGAGGATGGGGCACACGTAGGGCAATGGCAGAGAACAGCTGGGTATAATTCAGCAGGTTATAAGGAACCGAGTTTTGATTTAGGAGGCTGATCTGATAGTTGCATCTTACCTGGGATAGTGAGAGAGGCTACTGGTAGTGGCGCTGTGAATGGGATATGAAGTTTTCCTACGTAAGAGCTATCAAAACTTTTACACTAACTAAAACTTGGCTACTCTTTTTACAAAAGTTCTGTCAATGGGATAAATAAATAATTTCCACTACAGAAAGGGTTATGGGTAAAATAGAAATTAATAATCAACTGTCCAATTTGACTGTTTCTACTTCTAAGATAAAAAAATACCGTAAAGTGTCAGCTTAATCAGCCCTTAATGATACAGCCTAATCAGTAATCAACAATCTGGCTTCAAAGATTGTCATGTGATATATGTCTTATTATTATTCAGAAGTTACCAGTATTAATCCTCAAATTTCGAGAGGTGAGAATTTTAAAAAATCCAATCAACCCACACGATAAAGTATTTTCTTAAAGTTGCAATGAAAATCATAAAAAAAAAACACCTAAGTTAAAAGTAAATTCTAAATCAATAATTTACATTGGAAAAAGTTATAAGAGGAAAAATAAATAATGGGCTGTGCATAATATACTCAAGTTTAGTTAGGAAATGTTAATATTCAATTCATATTAATAAGTCTTAAACATATATAATGTTGAGAAATGGATAAATAACATCCCATGATTTCATGTAGTATAAGTGAAATTGACCCTATTGCCACCCAGCAAATCTATTTCTGATTTTGTTTTAGCATTTGCCAAAATCACTAGGCATACATTTACTCCCTGTGAGGAGTTGAAAAGGGTTAAAGTTGCACTTCTTCACGTACTAGTACAGTGCAAAAAGCTACATTAACAATGTCTCTTTCTCCAGGAAGCCTTCCTCTTAAGGCTATGTATGACCTAAGTCATACACTCTGGATGCATCCTCCACTTCACCTTCACACTGTCAGCTGAACAGACTTATAATGATTTTTCAAAGTGCCTTCCTCACTTGACTATAAATTTCACAAAGAAAAGGTCCATGCATCTACTCCTTCAAGTGGAAGGACCCAGTTTGACGCCCCTTTATTTCCCACACCTTGCACCAAACTCTACATCATGCAATAAACAGTAATCTGATGTTGATGTTAACGATTATAACTCTCTAGGGTCTTCCAACTACCATTTACTAAATCATTTCCTAACTTTTTTCTTTCCAACCACTCCTAAGCTTCAGCTGTTACCTGTATACACACATGGCTGACTTTTACATCGGTGGCTTCCCGGTATTTACACCCTTGCATAGCCACCTCCCCCTTAAATCTGGGACATTCTTGTGAGTAGCTTTAAATAATAGAATACAACAGAAGTGACACTGGGCCAGTTTTGCGACTAAGCCTTAAAAAGTCCTGGCACTTTCAACTTTTGTACATTTTGGAGTCGTGAGCCACCATGTAAAAATTCTAGCTAACCTGCTACAGCATCTGCTTTTCAAATTCAACATTTGCTAAAACGGATTTCAGTATCTCACCTATTTCCTATATAGTACTGTGTAAATTGCTAATTTTAAAATTGTATCCCTCAGAATTCTAGTGCTCTGGAGTATTTCTAGAGATTTCTTCTAGAACAATCTGGGTAGACATGTTTCAATTCCAGTCCTTAGTCCCATCATATAAAGGGTCACAAAACCTAACTAGAAGCTCAAAAATAATTTAAATAAATAATTGTCCAATTAAAAAAAAACACACTGATGCAAAGAACGAAATAACACACTTTGGTTATGTGACTTTGGGCAGGTAATTTTAACATTTTGAGCTGCAATTATCTCATGAAATACTCGAGTTTGGATTTAAATAATCCAATTTTTTTTTTCTTTTGCTGAGGAAGATTTGCCCTGAGCTAACATCTATTGCTAATCTTCCTCTTTTTGTATGTGAGCCGCCACCATAGCACGGCCACAGACAGAGGAGTGGCGTAGATCCACGTCTCGGAACCAAACCCAGGCCACCGAAGCACAGCGTGCTGAACTGAACCACTAGGCCACCAGGGCTGGCCCTAAATAATTTGATTTTATAACAGAAATTAGGATTTCATTTTTATAACAACATCTTGAATGTAATAGATGATTAGAGAGGCAACACAGTGCAGTGGTTAAGAGCACAGAGCCTGAGTTCAAATCCTTAGAGAAGATACAGAGCCAGTAAGTGGCAGGGTCAGTATTTGAACCAAGATTCTGCCACTTAATAGCACCATAACTTCTGTAAGCCCTAACTTCCTCATCTACTAAATGGGTAGAAAAATACGTTTATAGGGCTATTATAAAAATTAAATGAGGGCCGGCCCCGTGGCTTAGTGGTTAAGTGTGCGCGCTCCACTGCTGGCGGCCCAGGTTTGGATCCCGGGCGCACACCGACGCACCGCTTCTCCAGCCATGCTGAGGCCGTGTCCCACATACGGCAACTGGAAGGATGTGTAGCTATGACATACAACTATCTACTGGGGCTCGGGGTGGGGGGGGGAATAAATAAATAAAATCTTTAAAAATTAAATGAATCAATATTTCTAAAGTACTTAGAACACTGTATAGCATATAATTAAGCCATTAAATAAGTTCTATTAATTTCTTCAGAAAATTGTAATCACAAGTTTGTTTTTTTAATGTACCATATAATAAATTAACTACATTATTTTCACAAATTTTATTTCTGGAATGTCTCTAAGAAACTCATGCTCAATATAATTAGCTATCTAACTAACCAAAAACTCTGCCTTTGGATCACTGATATTTTTTGAATATATAAGATTGTATATACTTTTTGTTACAGTAGGTTGTTAGAGATAATAAAAAATCTTAAAATGATGTGGGTCCTTTTTAATAAGTAATAATAAATATTATTTCCTCATAAAGAAATGTTATCCCCATTTTAAATATGATAAATACATTATCTACATTGCACCATTAAAACAACTTGAAGATCTACAACTTACCACTGATTGTCTTAGGTTTTTTAGCTATATATTCCTTCCATTTTCTTGAACTGAGTTGGTTGGGAGGTGGAATAAGTATGTTACTAACAGTACATGGCAATACAAAAAGAGCACCAACCTGGATAAAAGAGAACACATTTTTAGTGACTGCACACTGAGATTAATTCTTAAATAGTGTCACCTGACAATTTTCCACTCATATTTCACGTATATAACATGTATTTAGTAATGCTCTTTCCCAACAACTCCACTATAAAAAATTAAAAAAGAACAATGCCTACCTCTGCCAAAAAAAAAAAAAAAGCGCCAAAAAACAGAGAAGGGGATTCAAAGATACAGGCATCCCCTTTCCACCGAGTTATATATCTCTGAAAACCTTGTTATTCACAATATTTGCTTCAAGTTCAGGTTGTGGGAGTAATTTCCTTGTATATCTGCAATCTAATGAGAGGCTGGGAATTCTATCATCAAAAGATTTTCATCATATTTAACCATAATTTTTGGATGAATTATTGTTCTGGCTTCAAAATTAGAATACATCTGAAGGCAATTTCAAAAATTTTGTTCCTAGAAATCAGAGATTTAATGCTAATAGGTATCAAATGCAGAGAAACCATGAATCACATGCCAGAAAGCACACAGCAGCTTCTGACTGATTTATGAGCAAATTCAACGTATCCATCTTTGTATTCCCAGGAGTGGGCATACAGATGCTTATTAAATATTTGCCCCCAAAAAACCAGCATAATATATTTAGGTAAATTCTCAGTTTGATTAAGCACTGAATAAAACAAACTGCAACACTGAAAGTTGTATTTGGTCTGTTATTTTAGAAATGTTGTTGTTGTTTAAGCTACAACAACCAGCACATCTCAATAAATATCTCTTTTTCTTTTTTGGTGAGGAAGATTGGCCCTGAGCTAACATCTGTGCACATCCTCCTCTATTTTGTATGTGGGATGCCGCCACAGCATGGCTTGATGAGGAGTGCATACATCTGCACCTGGGATATGAACCGGCAAACTCAGGCCACCAAAGCAGAGCAGGCGAATTTAACCACTATGCCACCAGGCCAGCCCCTAAATATCTTTTTTTTTTTTTTTTTAACTTTGGGGAAATTAAGGCAGGGCTTTTGCCATAGATCTCAAATCTAATGCAAAGTCACTCTTAATTGTCCTGTGTAGATAGACGGGTTCCATGAGATATGTGATATTAAGTTAATTAGTACTACAACATGCTAGTTTAATTGCTGTTTATTATTTTTACTTATGCATTCTTAACCAACAGATACAAAAATAAGTATATTACGAGCAAAATAAGGAAGGTAAATTTTTTTATTTTTCTTTATTATTAAAGACATAACCGGGCCGGCCCCGTGGCTTAGCGGTTAAGTGCGCGCGCTCCGCTGCTGGCAGCCCAGGTTCGGATCCCGGGCGCGCACCGACGCACCGCTTCTCCGGCCATGCTGAGGCCACGTCCCACGTACAGCAACTAGAAGGATGTGCAGCTATGACAGACAACTATCTACTGGAGCTTTGGGGGAAAAATAAATAAATAAAATCTTTAAAAAAAAAAAAAAAGACATAACCTTTCATATTTTAAGTTAAATGTATTTTATATAGTCAAGCATTAGACATTAAAAACAAAAACATTTAGCACTGGAAAATAATCATGAAGTATAAAAGACACATTTAATTTTCTAAATACTAAACCCTAATTTTTCATTCTTGCCTAAGTAAGACTTCATAGCCCAAAATGCATGACACAACTCTCTGGCCCAAAGGGTATACAAAGTTATAATGTGAGTTTGCCAGATCAGGGCCGAGTTATAGCTTAACAATTATATGTTTGTTACAATTATAGTTACAATTTAGAGATACTAAATGCAGTTAAATGCATAACTTATAGCCTGATACAAATGTGTCCTGACCCCTCAAAGAAGTGGCCACATTTTTTAGACAGTCTATTTTTGGTTAAACATTTGCTACAAGTATGAAAATAAACGTTTCTAAATCCCATGAGCTATGATTCCCTACAAAATAAACGTATGTCAATTGCTTATACTGCATTCATAATAAACTCGGATTCTGATTTATTCTCACTAATATACTAACCATTAGATACACTCTGAGAGACTTGAGGATGATCCTTTTAGGTTATCATTCTATCTCCAGAATTTAAAAGCCAAATAACATTTCAAACCTGAGTTTCAAAACCTTGATTCAATCTTTCAGTAGGAACCCCCCAAACAAGCAAGTACGATGGCAATCATGTTTCTAGCCTTGCAAATTCTCCTCTTTAAAAAAAAAAATATTTCCTGGCCATATGATTAATAGATATCATGGTTCCCTAACAATCCTATTTTGTCTTTTTCTAATCTAATAACATAAGCTTTACTCTAAAAGGCTTTTATTTTTATTCTGGAGCTAATCAAACACTTTTTTGTTAAGCTCAGAAGTAGTTTTAGGATCACATAAATCACTAGAATTTAAGCACTATGAAAGCTTCCTGAGGAGTGGCCTTGTCCGCTTTATTATCTCCAGTACCTGAAATGAGCACGGGCACAGAGCAGGCAGTTAAAAAGAAGAAACCAAAGAAAAATTGTTGAATAAATACATGAAAACCAAGTTACAAAGCACTAGAATTATTTCAAGAAATGAGCATGCAATTCAAAACTACTTTTTTAATGTAAAAGACTAATTATGACCCAATGTAAAAAAATAAATTGCTTCACATTTAGTGATATATTAGCTAAATTACATAAAGTATGTTTCTAAAAATTATCCCTTTTGCTGCATTAAAGTGGAAACATATATATAGTTCCATTTATTCCTTACTGATAAAGCATATTTTAATATTTTATAGTCATTGTCCAAGAAGCAATAAAAATGACAGTCTTAGAACAAATTTAAAACAAAATAATTGAAAACACGATATTAATAGATATCAAGAGTTTAGCTTGCTTCAAGGATTAGTATTGCCCATCTTCAACAACTAGATGGATTAAGGATTATTTTATACCTATGTTAAACAAGTTATAGGAATATGTCTGATTTTGACTTGAAACATTCTCTATAAAACTAATTCCTAAAAATTTCATCTTATCTTCAAAATATCTAGAGGATATCTACTGCTTTATAAATTTCAGAAAAATGTTTATGTGTCTATCATTTGGGCCACATAAACTTCAAAGACAATAAAAATTAGTTGGCAACCATCATTTATATTATACTTTACAATTTATAAAATACATTCCAATTCGGTTTTCATTACAACTTTCTGAAATTTGAAATTAGTAAAACAGGAATTATTATTTCCAGTTTACAATTTAAAAAGCTGTAAGCCAGTGAGTAGCAGAGCTAGGGCTTAAACTCAAGTTTTTTGAAGTACATGTTCTTTGACTTGAGACTTTCTATATCATATTCCTTCCCTCCCTTATTTGATAATATAGGTGAGATGATTAACGACAAATGATATTCTCATTTCCTAGAATGAAGAGGTCCCAAAAGATTATGTGACTAGATGGGGTTACACAGAGAACTACTTAGCTACTTGGGTTAAAATAGGAACAAAGTTTATTCTCATTGGTTTTTTTTTTTTTTTTAATACTACTGCACAAGACTTCTCAGTGCATATTCCTATAGCAGTGTATGATCTTAATCTGTTTCAAGTACGTCCTCCACTCTATTAGCCTATCTCAGTCTGCTTATTTTCTTCATAGTTCTTATTATTTATTTTCTATTTTTCCCACCAAAATATAAGTTCCATGAGGATAGAGTCTTCATCTGTACAATTCATCACTGGATTTCTAATATCTAGCACAGTGTGTAGCACACAGAAGGATATATGTTGGATAATAAAAGATAAATTTTAAAATTTCAAAATTTAGCACATTAGGTTTCTTTAGCGGATGAAAACACAGGCTAATGTACTTCAGGCTGTTCCTTCAAAGGCCATTTCATCAAATAAATGCTTTGGCTATTTATTATTTTTTACTTATGTATTCCTAATTAACAGACATAAAAATATTATTTATATATTCAAAAACTATTAATTTCATGGAAAAAAATTTTAAGTTACCATAGTCAAGCATCTTAATGCCAAAATCATATTTCCTTTACTATGTCAATTTTCTAAGGAAACAATAACCAAAATTTGATTATAGTATCATGGGGAAACTATAATTATAATAATGATTTTTCTCCCTGCAAGATTGTTTGGTAATAGTGTATTTGTTGTTAAACAATAAGAAAATGTTATGTAAATATTGCCAATGAATAGTTTGTACGTTAAAAATTGTTTTCATAGAAACATAGCAGTTGAACAAATAATGAGAAAGAAAAGCAAACTTAGTTTTTCCTATTAAAACTGTACTTGACTTTGGATAGATGATTCCACTTAAAATTTGTTATGCTGTAGTTAAAAAGCTTTTTAAATATACCAATTTTATCATATCATCATAGATATATGTATGTGTATGTATATATATGTAACTACTGAAATAGCTACAATTCTCCTAAACATCACCAGAATTAAGGAAGAGAAACTGATAACTTACAAATGATAATTCAGTGAAGCTTTAGAAATTTTTCTCACTTCCACCCACCCGTCCTACCATGAAAAAGATAATGCAAGCATATAAATATCTTCTCACAGAACTGAAACCACAGGTTGAAGGAGTATGTTAACAAAAATCTAATGTGTTCTAAAATTTTGCAACTTTAAAGCAATCACCAGTCATGAAGCTTATTTTCGAAAATCTCTTCTAAAAGCAAAATATCACTTCATGTCTGCAGAAGACTTTGGAGTTATTATGAAAAGTTCAAAGTATCTTAATATGAATTAGGACCAAAATTATATTAAAGAAACCAAATCATCACACAACAACAGATTAACACACTACATTCCCTTTTCTCACAAATCCTTAAATGTTAAGTGAAAAAAATGTTCATGTTAAGTTAAAAAAAAAAAAAACACACTATCTATACCTTGCCACACAGAGAAGAAATCTGCTCCAACAGCAACATGGAATTCTGTTTGGTATTATTTTTTGTCAAGCTCCTGTATTATGGAGTTAAAGAACTGATGGAATGGTAACTATGAAACAGTTCTACTCCCTAAAATAAGTTTCATTCTCCAATTCACAAGGTGCTTAAATTCATTTCTGAAAAATTTTAACTGTAGGAACTCACAATGACTCCTTTCAAGGATAATTATTTTTTGGTTCTGAGAATATACCAACAATAGTGCTACTGTGACTAGTATTACTATAAACTATCAGAACAAGAGACATATAAAACTGTACCTTCTGAACAAAAATTCAAGAACACTATGCTAGTGCTACATTTCCAGCCAAAAACTACTTCCTTTCATACAAAACGTTCTGTTCTTAGGTGTACTTCTAAATATTCTTAGATATATTTTCTTAAAAGAGAATTTAATATATGTTGAATCTTTACAGATATATGTGATAGCATTTATATTTACTTAAGTAAAGTATATAAAAAGATACAGTGGCCTGGCACTTACACATCCATCCTGCTGAGGGCAAGAGAAACATGTGAACATTTAAGGAGTATATAAATTACTCTGTTTTTCTCCACAGATACCTAATGTTTCTCCCTCTTCCCTACCCCATATGCAATGAGGAGCAACACTAGGAATTCTGCTTATTCTAGAAGCATAAATATAGTACTTCTTGAAGGAGGATTTTTTTTTGCAAGTTGTAGAACTTCTCTTAAAACAATGGCAATGAAAAGGATACTAAATATTAGTGAAAAAAAAAAAAAAACAGAAACAAAAAACCAGGATGGTCAAATATCTAAATGTGGAGTGGTACCAGGAAACATTCTACCTCACATAGAAAATGTAATCTAAAATGAGCATGTAAATGAAAGGATACAACTCAAATTCAATGTCCGACATATAGCAGGAGGGTAGATCTGATAATTTTATCATCTGCACAAATTCTAAAGCAGGGCTATAATAATGGAAAACCTAGAAAAGAAATCAAAATTAGGTATTACTTTATATACTATAAATAAAATAAAAGTGAACAAATTAGTGATTAGGGTTTAAAACTTTAAAATGGATCTTAAAAAGCAGGTATTTACACATTATGCAAGCCAAACATTTAATATTCTATAGCAGACAAGAATTTCTTCCATTTTAATTCTACCTTTCAGAGTAGAGAGACAGACATGGAGATTCCTTAGTAACCAGGAAGAGTTTTAACACGGAGAAAATGAGTATAGAAAGAGGCAAGTAACAGACGACAAGAGTTCTCAACTTTTCCTGTTTATCTGCAGCAAGACAGACACACATGACCCCAGATGCTAGGATGCGGAAGAAACAAATTAAGAGGGTCTGCAAGACTGAGAAAGAGAAAGAAAAGACACTCTAAGATGAACTTAGGTTGAGTAGTATGCTGAGATTTGAAAAAAAAAAAAAAATCTTTGGAGGAAATACTGAAAAAATGAAAGAGAGAAGTAGTGAAGCCAAGAGTGCTAATTAACAAAGAAAGCCCTACTTAGAGAAATAAAATTACAGTATTTCTTCGGGGAGAGCCTAAAACTAAACTAGTAAAGGAGGACACGTATTTCAAGTTGGGACTAGAGTGCTTCAAAAGAAGGGCAAAGGAAAGCAAACACATTTTGAGGAAACTATGCAAAGTTTTAAACTTGTGGAAAACTGAGTAATTTCACAATATATGATATGTGTATGTACGCGTGTGTATATATAGTATGTATGTGAGTTTATATATACACATAAATACACACATATATAGTGTGTATATAGTATACATGTGAGTATGTATATAGTGAGAGAGAGAGAGAGAGACTTATTTTTTATTTTATTTTATTTTTTTGGCTGAGGAAGATTTGCCCTGAGCTAACATCTGCTGCCAATCTGTTTTTTTGTATATGAGCCACCACCATAGCATGGCCACTGACAGACAAGTGGTGAAGGTCCGTGCCCGGGCACTGAACCCAGGCCACCGAAGTGGAGCACACCGAACTTAACCAGTAGGCCACCAGGGCTGGTACAAGACTTATATTTATTGAAGAGGTTGTACCCTAAGATTCTCTTCAATAGCAGCAAAGATTAGAAACATTATTCATACTTGAATGATGTACTACCAAAGAAGAGAAGTTGAGGTCATCAATCTTATGATTGTAATCTTTAGAAAAGAATTTAATATTCCTGTGAAATGTGACCATGATAAGTTACTTAAGGTAAGCAATTCTGAACAACTATTGGGAAATGTGTTCACATCAGAAATATGCCCTTTTCTGTACCACCCTTTGATCAGAAAATATTACCCATCAATCTGACATCCTTGTAACTTCATGACCATTATGTTTCACATAATTCTTGAATGGGGTCTTTTAAAGTGAATTTTTAAAGTTCTTCTATATAAATACCTCTTCCTATGTTATTTTCCCAATGTAAAAAAAAAAGCCAATTCAACCCTTTTTAACTATTATACTTTATGATTACTCGCATTTTAAGAATAAAAGTAGAGAGATATGAGACAAGAACGAACATTTCTTAAACTATAAAGGAAGCGTATATCAGGCACTATAGCATATGTTGGATCCTAATTTCTTACCTGTTTTAACCCTCACAATAACTTTGAAAGATAGATGTGTTATTATTGTCTCCATTTCACAAATAAGTTAATCAATCTACCCAAGGTTACAATACCTCAAAGGTAACAACGTCGGCTTTCAAACCCAGGTCTACCTAACATCAAAGCCTGTGTTTCCACTATACCATACTCCACACTGAGTCTTAGAAAGGTCACCCAGCAAAGTTCAAACCAAAGGTAGTTTCAGGACTATACTGATCTAAAGTTAGGATTATCCCACTTTTTAAAAAAATCTAAAACAACTATTGTTTTGCCAACATTCAATGCTGATAACACAATATAATTTAAGCACTTAATTATAATTATAATAAAAGTTATGCAAGTGAGCACACTTAAGCACATATATTAGTAATGTTAATTCAAGATTCAAACATATAGGAACAAAAACATGCATGAATGCATAACTGCAAAATAAATTAAACATAGATTACCTTTGGCAAAATATTCTTATCCTTTGATGATATTATCTTTTTGGCAAGAAAGCAAGTATTTAAATTAGATGTACTAAAATTATTAGGTGTGACTCCCTTTAAGCAAAATTCAGGAAAACTAATTTCAAATCCAAACTGAAAAGAAACCAAGAGAACACAGTTACAGACATCATGAATAAAATTATAAAGATTAACACATCTTATCGCAATGTAAAAGTTGAGAGGAAAACCACATGTAAATATATTTTTGTTTCCTCAGCTCAAAGTGTAGTTCTTCCACATATGTACACACCCTTCTTATTTTAACTTATACATGGATTTTTGATGCAAAAGTCTCCTTAGCCCTTCACCAGCCCATAAAAGTATATTAAGCCCATTCTATGCAACCACAGAACCAAACAACCTCCTTTACATATACTTCTTCAATATCTGGTTTCCTATCAGTCTGAAAGTTCTGCAAAAACAGAACCTGTATATCTTATTCACCACTAGATCCTTAGCACAGTGCCCCACACACAGTTTGCTTTCAATATAAGTTGCTGAAAAAGATCAATTCCTTCAAAAGTAGTAATAGTAGGGGTGCTAATAACAGTAATGGTAAACAATGACAGCTAACACTTATTGAGTGGTTACTTTGTGCTTTAAATAATTTAATCCTCATAAAAATCTATGAGATAGGAACTCATAGATAGGATCTCTTATTATCCCTATCTTATAAAGACAACTGTGGCAGCAGGAGGCTAATTACCCAACATGTCACACAAAACCAGCAAGAAACAGAGCTGGGATTTGAGTGCAGGCAATCTAACTCTAGAATCTATGTTCTTAACCACTATAACACCTCTAGACGAAGAGCTATTCTCCCCCCAAAAAAGCAATTTCAAATTTTAAATGCATCCTATGGAGATACAGACATTTAATTTCCTATTTATAAAAGAATAAAAGAATCATATGAAAAGAACTCTCCCAGCCATTCATTTGTCCGTATATAAACATGCAGTTTCAGAAAATGTATACAGAAGCAATTCTTCTAGCTAATCGTATCCTGCACTCTTCCAGGTGGCTACATGGTCTGTGTACATTAAAACCACCTGCAGAGAAGGTTTACTTGAAGATTTTACCTTCCTAAGACAAGGATGATACAGCATTCAAATCAATAAGAAGGATTCTCTTGTCCTATTAGAGGTTTTATTAAACCATTATTAAGGGTGAATTGGAAAAGGGAAAAAATGTCTAGTAATTAATGCAAAAAACCTTTATAGGAGCGGAAGGGCCTACTCATGCTCCCATGTCACCCTGAACAAATATTAAGAAACTTAATTTTAGTTTTGCCCATATACAAAAATACGTAAAATACACAAATACATAAAATACTAGGAACACATTTCAACATGGACACAACTCCTAAAAACCACCAAACAGGGCTGGCCCCGTGGCTTAGCGGTTAAGTGCTCGCGCTCCGCTGCTGGTGGCCCGGGTTCAGATCCCGGGCATGCACTGACGCACCGCTTCTCCGGCCACGCTGAGGCCGCGTCCCACATACAGCAACTAGAAGGATGTGCAGCTATGACATACAACTATCTACTGGGGCTTTGGGGGAAAAATAAATAAATAAATAAAATTATAAAAAAAAAAAAAAAAAACACCAAACATATTCATTCATAGTAATAGATGCCAAATAGAACTAGAAACTCATAGAAATTTAAGATTAGAAGGATCCAACTAATGTAGTATTCTTATCTTGTGGTTGAGAAATCTGGGGTCTAGTAAGGTTAAAAAAAATTGTTTAAAATCAAAGAACTGCCTAGTAGAGGGCAGAGATCACCTAAGGTGGTATTATAGGTAAAAGAATACATTTTAAGCAGTTTTCCAGTAGTTTACACATGCAATAAAACAAAGCCGCTTGGATAAACAACACGAACTCAACTAATGTCAAATTCTATGTTTTAAAAGAACATTACATTTTAGAACTGCAGTGTCCAAAACATAATCACTGTGACTATTTAAATTTAAATTAATTAAAATAAAGTTAAAAATACAGTTCTTGGGGTGAAGTTGTCACATATAAAGTGCTCAGTAACAATATGAAGCTAGTGGGCTACTGTAGTAATATACAGATAGAGCATTTCCATCATTGCAGAAAGTTCCCTTTACGTAGTGCTATTCTAGAACATCCTTATGAAGTATATTTTCATTAAGATTCATTTAAACTATCTCTGTTGTAAATAAAAGGCCTGCTTTACAAGCTATGATAATTGAGAAATCCACTTACCTTTCTTTCCCATATCTGAATCTTTCCCCTCCATAATTCCTTTGAGTCAATAGCGTTTCTGAGATCTTCTAAAGATACAACATTAGCAGAAAGGTATTCAGCAATTTTCTGACAATTTCTATAAATAAAAGATTATGATAATTAAATATAAGGTTTTAGATTTTACTTATATTTAATGGTTATAGTTAACTACAACACTAACAGGAAAAAATGCAAAGTTTATATTGCTGCTTTTATCTACTTTTTAAAATATTATAGAACACCCATTAAGTCAGCCTCTGAGTGAGTTGCCAATACATGTTCATTTAATCCCAACAGCACCATGAATTAATAGAAATTACTTTTAATACTGGTAAAAGTATTAAATGATGAAGAAATCTATTTTCCTCTTACTTGGCTTAAATGTGTCAGACACACACACACACACACACATAAACACACAGAGTCAATGCCAGTTCCTTATCTTAAAAAAGAAAATTGCTCTCCTAAATTGTTCCCTTTTTGTATAGAATTCCATAATAGCACTTATCACAGACTATCATGACTATTAGCATTCCTGTTTCTTCCTCACTTCAATGAAAAAAATCAAATCTCACTTCCTTAACCCACCAGCATCTATTGCTGTGCTTGGCACAAAGTTAGTGCTCCATAAATACTTGTTAAATGAAAAAATCATGAGGATAATAAATCCAATTTGAATACTTACTTCAGAATCAAACTGTAATAGACAACTGATCTTTATTAAAATGCCATAAAACACAACAGTATATATTTATTTCTATATTGGCACAAAAAACAAATATGACATTACAAATCCAGTGTGTCCATGTATCCATGATATTCATCATGGTGCTCACTGGACAATACAAGCCTGTTTAAAAGCACACTGTGTCTGGAGAATTAATGCTCAATAACAGTTATAAAACAGCATTGATAACATTTACTAAAATCTTAAACATCTCAGCAACGTAAAGTATGAAATAAGAAAAATCTAGATTCTTCTCAATAGATAAATCTCCAATCACAGTATGACATAAAACTATTTTGTCACATTAAATAAAATCTTCAGGGGCCGGCCCGGTGGCGCAAGTGGTTAAGTGCCCGCGCTCCGCTGCAGCGGCCCGGGGTTAGCTGGTTCGGATCCTGGGCGCGCACCGACGCACTGCTTGGCAAGCCATGCTGTGGCGGCGTCCCATATAAAGTGGAGGAAGATGGGCA